TGTTTTCGTCGATTTCTTTGTATTTTTCCCGTGAGCGCGTGCTGTCGGCATCTGGTACTACAAAGGGTGGCATCACCCTAAACAGAAAAACATTGAGGCACCCTAGGGTAAAAGATTGAAAGATACATAAACAAAAAATGTAGAGAGTTTAAGGAATATGAATTTAGACACAAAAAGGGGAACCTTGTCGGCAGCATTTTGTTTTTACGGCCGAGTGTCACCAACTGAACCATAAAGGAAGACATTGGTGAAGTCGGCTGGCCAAAAGGCTCTATGGTGCTAATGGATAGGGTCATAAGGGAAAGCAGAAAAAAAAAAAGAGGAAAAAAGAAAACGTTTCTCGATTTGATTTCATAAAATAGTGTTTCGAACTTTGCTGTGAGAATTGAATATTTCTTCCATGGCTTCCGCAAGGGCGGAGGGGGTTTATTAAAGTCTTGGTTAAAACAAGAAATGTAAAAGTCTGAAGAAAGAAAAAAAACTTTAAAATTTGCTGAATTAAAACTAGTTGGTTCATGATGATTTCAAAGCTTAAAAGCGCAAAACAAGACAAGGACGAAGAAGAAAACACACGACTAAGCGCCTGTCTGTGTCGTGTGTTTTCTTCTTCGTCCGTCTTATTTTGCGCTTTTAGCCTTTTAAATCATCAAAAATTTAAAAAAAAAAAAAAAAAAAAAGTCATGGCAAGTACAACTCGAAATAAAATCCCCATATTTTCCTGACTCGTATTTTCTACATTATCACTTTTGAAATTCGAGGTTTGGTTTAGTTTTGAGAAAGAATGCATGGAATCGCAGTCACCACTCGTCTTGATAGCTTTAAAATTTCGTTTGTCTACTGTAAACGACTTTATTTTTGGGAAGTTTTCGTTTGAAAACTATTGCCACAACATGATCAGGCGAAGAAATATCGCTGCATGGTAACATCTAACACCGTTTCACCTTAGCTCCGATCAGAGCTATTCCAACCAATTGAGCTCAGTGAACGTATAGCAGGCTCTCCGCCCGCCACTGTGCCCCCCTCCAAGGTTGAGTACCACTCTCACGGGCTTGCATTGGCTCTGACGGCTCGCAACATCCGCTGATTGTAGCGCACCTAGCATACCACTCCCAATGGCTAAAGTTCGTTACCACAAAATATTCCTGAAATCCACACATCGGGAAATCCTCGAAATATCGATCCCGCAAAAAATAAGGTCCTTAACAGTATTTTGGCTCATCAAAGTGATGGCTTCCGGGGACTTCCGCGCAATGAATGGTTCGTGCGCAGTCGAACATTTGGGAAACAATTCCATCGTGTGCATCGTCGTACAACTGTGACAAGAAGCAAGTGGTGCGGACGTACTGCAAACCATGCGCACTGTTTTCCGAATGTCTCCCGGCTGAAGAAGCGTATTTGTCTTGGAAAATGTGTCCACAGGACGTGTAAGAGGTGTGCGCTGAGAGAACACACATCTTCTTTGAATAGAATGTGCTGATAAAATAACTGTGTTCAATAGCGCCGATATTTCGTGGAACAGTGATAAAAAGCAAGCAGCGTTCAAGTACTGCAAATCATCGCAGTGTTTTCCGAATGCCTCACGGCTTAACAGGCATCTTTGTCCTGTAAAATGTTTCCAGAGGACTTCAACGAGGTGTGTGCTGAGGAGCACGCATCTCCTTGAATAGATTTTGCTAAGAAAATGAATTCGTTATATAGTGCCGACCTTCTAATTTTTAACGCTATAGCGTTATGTACATCGTGTCGCAGAAAAGCCTGCGTTGGTGGCGTCGTGACGGGAAATTCTTGATTGGTTGATAGGCTCATGAAATCTCAGCCACATGGCCCAGCGGAAGAATTTCAAACAACCCACACCGCTCACGTGAAACGTGACGTCACGAGTCGAAGGAAAGTGATTAAAAATCATGACATATAATACAAATTAAAGGTCGCCACGCAATTCCTTTGCCTTTAAAAAAAAATGAAGAATTTAAGGCGTGATTCGAATCCACGACCCGTCGGTTGCGAGCCATACACGCTACTGACTAGGCCATGTCCACTTTTTTGCCAATTTTTATTCAGTACAGAGACAGACAGATACTAGGCCATGTCCGCCGCACTTCCTGCTGACTGGCAGGAAGAACATGAGAAGCGAATAAGGCGATGCGAACGGTGCCCGATAACGCTGTCGCGTTCCAGTCTTAAAGGCGAAGCTTAAACGTCCTTCAAGATTTTTTTTTTAACATTGACAGTTTTTGCACAAAAAAAAGCAAAACAATTTTTTTTAAATTTGTTTGTATTTATTTTTAATTTTTATTTATCTTAGAGGGGATCTGGGAGTCACTGTTATAGTCGGAAACAGCTGAAGAGTTCAGTGGAAGCACCTCCTACCTCTTTCCACCTTAGCGAGTGAACGCTGGAGAGGAGGCGACCTCCTCTCCAGCGTTGTTCCCCTCCTACCTGCGCTATGCTAAAGTGAAAGGAGGTAGAAGGGTCTTCTTCTGAACTGTCATCGACTATAGTAGTTCTTCCGTCCGGAAACATTGAAGGCTTACATATTTTATACGTGAGTGCTCGGGTACTGGCACGAATAGAAGTCTGAGACCTCGTCACGGCATGCCTTCTTATGCCCTAAAGCTGACACCCACTTGAATTCCATCAAATTTGCGGCATAGCGCCAGTTGTGTCTTTTAAAGTTACCATTGAAACACGTTAAGTAAACTTTATACGCCTCAGATACAGTGAAGAGGCATAGCTGGAAGAGAACATTTTGGGGGCAGCGCTACGAAACTCGTAGAGCAGGCTATATTATGTGGTGTCGTGAACCGTTGTCTACTGCTATTATAGCCTATTACATTGCCTTTTAGCTTGGAGTTGCTTGATGGGTTGTTTCGTTTCTGCACTTCGCAAAGCGTCTTTTTTTTTTTTAGTTCCATGATTGTTTCGTTTTTTCTAACGTTTTTGCTTGATTATAACGGTTTCGTAAGGCCTGAACAACAATGCCATTTGAGCGACGTTGGTAGGACGCTAAGCAGTAAGGTCAACATCCATCGATCAGATGTTTCCTCGTAACGGTACCATGTACTTCCAGAGACCAGGTCCAAAACGATAATGACAAACAAAGGTCGGTGGGGAAAGGGTGCATGCAACGCGGATGTGTCTACTCGTCGTACAAAACGCCAGCCAGAAAACGATGCCTACTACCTGGCTCTGGATCATGACCGGTCACGAGATTCAAAAACAAGACCCGTTGAGCATGAACCCGAAACCATAACTTGAGCTTTTGCAGTCACCTGCGTAGCACCTCGCTTGCTTTTCGCTCCTGTTTCTTTTCTTCCTACTTGTATCTGTTTCTGCTTTCATTGCGTCGTCTATCGCTTTTCTCACGGATCTGGGCGGTCATTTGTGTGCTCTGTTCGCCTCCCCTGCGGCACGAATCGCGCATTTTCCTTTTCGGCATTATGGTGGAACTGTAGTAATTTCTGGCTTTGCTCTCTTCGTCTTTCCTCGCCGAAGGCCTATGTTTATATTTCTTTTTATTTTTTTCGTCATGTGCGCGTCTGCGTCAGACGGCTCGTCGTTTGGTGTTGTCTTGCTCCACGCTTGCTGCCTCTTCGTCTTGGTTTTCGCCCCAGCGGCATATTATAGAGGAGCGGTGGCTCTGTCATGCTCTCGCCTTGAATTTCATACAATACATACATACATTCGGGGAAACGGCAACATTCCGCGTCTGTAACCCTCTCCCTTTTCTTTCGTGTTCCTGCTAGGACTGCGTCTGCCCGCTTTTCTTTTTTTTTTCGCTTATTTTAATGGTGTTCTTGTTGGCTGTGATCTTGGCGACGCACTGGAAAACCATAGTGTTGGTTTCTTTCCTCCTTGCTTGTTGTGTCAAGTGGCACTAACCAAGAAAAAAAAAAAAAAAAAAAAGCTACGCAGACAAAACACCGACTGTGTCCTTGTGACCCTCGTATTGTATTATCCCGGCCTTCTTTCGGAGCCACTGAGCCCGATCGAAAACTACCCGAAATGGGCTTCGGTCGAGGCGTCATGCGGGGGCCACACTTTTCTGTACTACTTTGTTCTCTGTTGCTTCTTCTTGTCTTTCTTGTAACTCTGAGATTGCGTATGCTTCGCGATCTATACAGCGAGGAAATCACTGCACCTAGTTTATTTTATTAGCTCCGCCGAATCCTTTGCTGAGTGTGAGCGGTGCGATGGCGACACAAATTGTATACACAGCAGTATTGTCGTTTGGGAGCACTATATAAAAGCACGTTTCCTGGTTAACAACTTATCTGCGCCTAATGGACACCGACTGCGTAGCTGGAGCCTTGACGTCTTCGTAGGCAGCCTCTGCGCATCATAATGCAGCCTCTGTAGAACTGAGGCGAGATACTTTCGAATGCCTAGGAAATTCCATTCCGACCTCGATTGCAGTTCCTGCTTTCCGAGTGCCTCTCAACGTCTTCGAGGATGGATGTCCGCCATCGCTTAGCCTTTCTTGCCACTCTGCCCAAGTCCTTAGCAGTTATCACACAAGAACAGCTTTGTTTATTCAGCATCGTGCGAACCGCTATCTCCTCTACCTTCCGGTCTCATAAGGTCGTTCGACATGCCCGCCCGTCGAAGCGTCATCGCCCCCAGCGTATGTGCAGCTCATTTGTGTGCCTACTTAAAAAAAAAAGCGGTCGCCTCTCCTTCTTACCGCCAAACGTCTCTCCCTTATCGCACCGTGAGAGATAGTAGCAGCCCTAATCAACCTAACGAGATACGTCGTGCACACGGCACAGCGGGCAGTCAGCCTGAGTGTTTGTGAGCGCCCCTCTGGTTTCTTTTTGCTTGCCTCCTTTTTATTCCGCGTATGTTTGATTTCGTCTTTGCTGCCGCTATTTCGGCTCTGATAATGAGTCCGAGAAATCGACGGGCAGACCGAAAGCAGCGCGAAATGCCGCTTCGGTCCTAATGCCAGAGCCTTGGCCGCCGGACGCTTATCGCGTTCTGCCTCTTGCCACCTCTTTCAGAAGCCTGTATGCGCTGGCAAGCCTGGAACGCGCTCGGGCGCCTTGCCTAATTAGAGCCCTCGTCCCGTGCACTGGCTGCTCTGTCCCGGCGCAAAGCACGCGAACCGTCCAGGGCGTGCAACGGCCAACGCGCTGCGGCTACGTTTCGCTGCAAACGGTAGGGAGCACGCCTTCCGTACTCGCCTTTCTCGACCTGCGCTGGGGTTGCTCCCGACAGACTGCTACGGCCGTCCATGTTCATTCAGGGCCCTAGCTCTGGTCTTAGGCTCAGGATGTTTACCCGAAGTTGGTCCTAACACTTTGTATATACAAATGTATGGCTTTTAATTCGTACGGATTCCTAAACTGGTGGGAGTATTATTATTGACGTATAAGTGGCGCCATGGTCATTGTCCCATGCAGCGAGTCCCCTATTTCCTCATAGGTTATAGCTGAAAAAGTTGGAAGCAACGCCACTAGTTCGAATAATGAAACTGATTAACACCAAGTTACTTTCAGTGTGTGCATCATATTTGATAGGTATTTGTGAATAGGAAATAATGCAACCAATCAATCGTCGTGTTCTTTTTTTTTTTTTTTTAGTTCTTTAGAATTTTTGCCAAATTTCTCGGGAGTATACGCTCGTCCAACGAACATCTGATTAGGCCGATCTTAAATATGGCGTTGCAGATCATAAATGTATATTCTATATAATTTCTGAAGTCAAGCATATATTTGTACTTAAAATGTAATCTGTTAGAACCAGTTTGTGGACATAACTCTATGCATCTAATTGGAATATTATAAAAGGAAAAAAATTTCAGTTATTTTTTTTTTTTCGTGCGTGCTGACACGCGTTTGGTGATAGCACACGGCCGGTGGCGCCGTCAGCAAGCTGTCGCTATAGAGTGCCTCTCCTAGACTCGTTTACAAGCATGACTATTGGTTAAATGCTCGTCGTCATCTTGAAGGTCGCCACACCATCCTACGAACCTGTCATATAGGGAGTATTCACTGGCAGCCATAGCCGTGTGCGCGACTGCTGAGCGCGTGCTCATGGCGAGCTTCCACAGTTCTTTTGCAACGTGCATTCCACTCCATCAAGATTGCCGGTCTTAGCAACCTAGAAATGTGAATTCGTTCTGAGCATGCGCTCTAAATAGCACCAACAAATATGGTGTCCAGTGAATACTTCTTATAGCTTGCACGACTTCTTTTGCAGTTCACCCGCTCCTTGAAGGGGATTGTAGCAAGAGCCGTTGATTAGCGAAGCACTTCGAACGATCCGGTGTGCCTTTTCTTGCCCCGGCTCCGCATAACGTGTGACTATAGTCACTGAGAGCATGAGAATGGAAAGGGGGGGGGGGGGGGGGTTTAAGTTGCCCCGCCTCCAGCGCGATATTCCTAACTTTGACAACGCTTCGTCGTCTCGTACGCTTCGAGCGTGCATGCGCAGCCAAAGCACGTCAGAAGGCAATGGTCACGCGGAAGCTAGGCATAAGGAAGAGACGCCTTACCATTCTCATTCTGTCTGTGACTATGCAAACCGTTAAACTGGGGTCACACTGCTTATACATCTTACATAAAGAAAGTCTGCAAACAGATTTGAACTCGAGTCACCACGAAATCCGTGCTTCGAATGCCGCATGGCAACGAGTTCAAGGATAAACTTGGCACACGGCATTCGAACCACGGATATCGCGGTGACTGATGTCGGACCATATCCTCCTATATACTGACAAAGCCTGGCAGATCGGCATGAGAAGCGGCCACCGAAATGGAAAAGGTGGTGCGGCAGACAGTGGATGAGAGGGGAGCCACGTGACTGGCGCCCCACTGTGGCGAGACGCCAAAACACACTTCTCCCGAGCGAGCAAGTGTGTTTCGGGTCCTCGCCGCTGCAAAAGCTGTGCGTTGACGTCCAGGTTCCCCTAAAGGGTTCCCCGAGAAATTGCTCTTTGATGCTCTGTGCTACCAGATCCTCGCGCTCCAAATCTGCGACCGGGAACTCTATCGCTCCGTCGTCGTACTGCCAGGCTTTGTAAGTATAGAGGAGACAATGGTCTGGCAGACTGTCTTTTGTATGATGTATAAGCAGTGTGACCCCGGCTTTAGGGCTATGTGCTCTCGTCTCGGGTAGGCATATTCGCAACCTCCAACCAGTCAGTGCCAATGTGTCACTGTGCTTTCATCATCATGGTTGTACGCGCCATCAACAGGATATAATGTACTGTACATATTCTTGTTGGATATGCACTCGTTCTAATGTCTTCAAGGTCAGACGACCAAAAGTATTTTTGCTCGTTTATTTAAAAGCGAAGCTGAGATTTAGACCCTTAGGTACTGCCACCGTGTGTTCTGAGTGGTATAAAGTGCCTTATACTGCTTGCTAATCGCTGTGTTCACATGAGATCATGGACGCGAGTCCGGCCGTATATTTTTATTTTTGCCTATTTTTTTTTGTATGTTGCTGCTCAACATGTGTTTGGAACGTAATAAAAAAAAATTTTTTTGCAAAAAAGTAGTACAAAAAAGTTGGCTTTTTTTTTTTGGTGCGCCAAACGGCATATTTAATTTTTAAAGTTTTTGTTTATGTCATGTTTGGTGACACCTACTACGGAAACTACAACTATCAGAGTTATCAAATATTTTTCACTTTTTATAAATCATAGGAACTATTTAGCGACGTATTTATAGCATTCTGGACGTCATATATTTTGCGTCAAAAATGCGCAAACATGGCTCCTTTGACGTTTTGTCACGAGATTTCTCAGCCGTTATCTACAAAAATTGAATAGCTACGACGTTAAATGTTATTTCATATATTTTTATTGATACTTTTTTTTTTTCAAACGATACATAAATCGTTGCTTTATCACAAATAATAAAATTTTTATGTCGCTCCAAACTTGTTCTAAATTACAAACGTTAAAAAATTTCAAGGTGGAATTTAAAAAAAAAAGACATTTCAAGGTGGAAATAAAAAAATACCAACTTTGGTGTTTTTGAAATTTATGGTGATAGTTCTCCATTACACTCTTGTGTTTATTCGTAAAAGCATGCTGCATCGTTTTGTTTCTTTCAAAGTTACAGCGCTGCAAAGTGTACCTCCCACGCCGGCATTTTTGCCCAGCGCCACGGAGGAGATTATATTTTGATTCCGTGTATTTTATGACTAGATATATATTTCGTGCTGTATACAGGTATTGGGGTCAAGTTAAAATATTCTCCTAATCAGAACAATACCCGCGCTACTCTTCCTTTTTATTAATGTATGCAAACATCCTGTTTTGCCCTTTAAAATGACGCCGGACGATCAGTTGTAATCGCAACTACATTTTTTTTTTTTTTTTACAGAAAGTGGTAGAAAGGTAAGTACAGTGGTGAAAATTATATGCAAATATGTATGCCTATATTTGAGATGAAGTGAAAATATTTGTGCCACCAAGCTTGTTACACTGCTATTCATAATGGTTGTACGTCCGGCTCACCAAGGCAAACCTGCGACTTCACTGGCACTTTCAGCGAGACGTCCGTTATGATTAAAAATATTTGTAATTATTTGTTTTACTATAAGGAAAAAAAAACAAAAAAAACAAACAAACGTGGAAATGAAAAATTAAGAAAAGAAAAAAATAACGAGTAAAGATATCGAGCGCACTGTTGTTGCCCGCGTTGGCAGGAGGGCGTCCTGAGAAGTCCGTCTTTTGTCCCTCTTCAAAGCAGACTGACGAATTCCGCGAAGCACTTCCCTGTGCTGCGATAATTTCAAGGACTGCGAGAAAACCGTTCAACTCCGAATGTGGCTGCGTATAGGGAATTTACGAACTGGAGGATTTTGCCCGATCCTCTTCGGATAAGTAACATCCAGATCTATACATTGCGAAAATTTCTCTGCTTTCCTACCATCTTTTGTGTTTACTAAAATAGCACACAATATTTTACGGACGCTGTAAGTCGATGCCATGGTTGAAGACGGTATGTCAAGACGCAACCACACGCGGGACTGGCGACCACTTTGGTGTTAGCACAAAAGTGTCGCTTAACACCGGTGCCGCCAGCGAGTCAAAGCGACAGCATGTCCCTCTGCAAACTGCGTGCACGTGAAGACAGGGTTACAACGGATGCCTTTCAAACCTCGCGACTTCGAAATTGGCTTTATGGGTGGTCGTGTGGGTCTTTCGCCTCAACTGTCTTGCTTTGCTTTCCGATTTGTCACGTCGAAATATTCGAGGCGAGAAAAACAGCTTCCTCGTCGGCAAAACGCCATCCTTTAAATACACCGACAACGTAATTATCGGCTGTTTTGCCGGGATAAATTCAGGCCTAGTTTTGTCTGTTGTTTCAAGAAAAGGTCGCTGCCACGTACCTAAGCTATGACAATCAGAGAGCCGGAGTTCAACTTGCTCCACAAGAGCTTTCGAATTCTTCTCCCGGAGCGCTGCAGCCGTGAGACAGCGTCCATCAGTTCGTGCATTCCCTATTTGCTACATTCGGAGTTAACCGATTTGCTTGCACTCGTTGGAACTGTTGCAATACATGTGAGTGCTTACAGAAATTTGTCTGTCTGGTTTAAAGAGGGGCAAAAAACGGACTTCTCAATACATCCTCCTGCCAACGCGGGCAACTATAGTGCGCTCAATATCTTTACTCATTGATTTTTTTTTTTACTTTTTAAATTTTATATATATATTTTTTTATTTTACTTGAATAAATAATCCTATATATTTTTAGTCCTCACGGACGTCTTGCTGAAAGTGCCAGTGAAGTTGCAGGTTTACCTTGCTCAGCCGGACGTACAGTCATGCAGATACTATACAGATAGCTCCACGCAAACAAGCATTTCTTTTTTTTCTTTTTTTTTTTCTTTTCTTTTTGGAGAAGCGTTTGATTGTTGGTTAACGTTGGAACTAGCGCTGACGTCAGGACTCGTCCATCTGGAGCATATAGGAGGGAGCCCATCAACGCGAACTGCCGTTATCATTTCTGCCTGTGTCACCGCGGTCTGATTGAAAAGGGGAGAGGATTCTCGAAACGGCAGATGATAACGACAGTTCAATTTGGTGGGCTCCCCCTATATGCTCCACATGGACGAGTCCTGACGTCAGCGCTAGTTCCAACGTAAGCCACCAGTCAAGCGCTCTTCAGAAAAAAAAAAAAAGAATGCCCGCTCGCGTG